GTATCTTGTGTACCATTCTTTTAATTTTTTTTCCAATTCCCTTTTAGATGTAACTTCTAATATTTCATTTTTGTTTAATTCGTTTTTGTATAATAAATACTTTTTATTTTGGAAGTGAATACAAAATACCATTTAGATCTTTTTTCGATTTTTCAGGCCCCAAATATCGTGGTCGAAATCCGACTTTCGGAATATGAGAGAATTGATCTCTTTTGTGGTGAATTTCGGGGAAAATTACCCGTAGTTATTGAAAATAATTGGATCGAACGTTTCCGAAAATCCGCCACGTTTAGTTCCCACATTCTCAAAAACGTAGGGATTTTTCAGAAACCATCAATGCAGATATTTTGAAGCATATATGTTAATAAACGTGTTGAACAATTCAATAATCTGTAATGTCAATTTTAACGACGTGAGAGATATTATAAAAATTGTGTCCTTTTTGAATAAATTAACGAATACTGCAAAATGTGTTTTAAGGTATCATGTAGTACATTTAGCACTATTCGTACAAAAAGTTCGCAGAAAGTTTTTGAAACCATTTTTGAGATTATCTTGTATTATTTTTATTTTTTAATATTGCTCATAATTCAATCGAAATTGTCCGAAAACTATTAAAAAATTCGAAAAAAGTGCATTACCTTAATGGAAGATCTCTGGAGAATCAATTTTATTTGAGAGGGAAATCAATATTTTCAATTTTGTATTTGTAGTAAAAGCCCGAAAAAAATTCAAACTTATGGAAATTCAGCGTTAACAGTGAAACTGGCACCTACGCCACCTTCGTAAGTGTATTTCATTCTATTCTTTCTGGTAATTAAAAAAAATCGAGCAATTTTTTATAAGTTTTGGAAATATCTGTGGGGCTTTGGGTAAAGTACCACCAATTTTAAAGAATGTTTTTCAAAATAGCAAAGCTTCAGGTCTTCCTAGATAGACTGGGGAATACTGATTTTGAAAAAAATATCCTATTTATAGTTTAGGCGCCAGACAGACACACGGACGTTTAAAAAGAACACACACAGAAAAAAAACAACACTTTTTCGGTATCAAGGGCACACTATACATGAACTGTGACTACATAACGTGCAAGTGGGAGTAACTTAATACACATTAAAACATGATTTTTCCATTTTTTATGAATCGGGGATTCACTATACGAGTTTTTCTGTCCAAAAATTGCTGTGTTTTTGCCGCAGCATTACATAACTTTCTCTACACTACGTATAGACGTAGGTACACGAAGTAAAATACCCCTTTCTTCGTATCTCCTTCCTGCAAGGAAGAGATAAGCCAGCCGAAAAGTGTTTGCGCCGAGGCACACGTGCCCAGCGCCCCGCGCGCAAGCGCTGAACAAGGCGCGCCGCGGAGCGGCGGAAGGGGGAACCAGTTAATCGCAGCTGACTGCAGGGCACTGCGCGGCAGTGGGCGAGTGCGGGTCTCCACGTCGCTTCTGTGTTCGCCGGGCCGGGCTGTGGCCACGCGCAAGTGCCACATTTCGACCACAGCCACGGAGCACGAGGTGAGGTCTGCGTGTCCTCCAACCGTCGCTTGCCATTGGCATTTGCATAGCTCTGCTTCAGCTGTCACGGCGCTTGGCATGGGTGGAGTATATACTTCGATTTTTCTATAGTGGTCGATGACCTTAGGACATTGTTACACCTCCTGCCTTATAAACTGAATCTTTTTCACAGTGGTAAGCACATTTTTGAGGCCACGTGCCCGGTTAAAAAGGACGTTTACGAAAAATATTTATTTGATCAAAAATCGAAGTATAGTGTTCCAGGCGCATTTGCGCGTTGCCTGCTTGTAAGAACATGAATATCACGAAACATTTGCAGCGGGTGCGGCGACAAAATTTTCAGCTTTCCGTGGTAACGCAATTCGCGGTGTGCCGTTCACAACGCAGCGTCAGATGCAGTGTTCGGGTGATCCGTTTCCTCGTCCGATAAAAAATATTTCCTTGTTCCTGTTCATGCAGGAAATAGAAGAGTGCTACATTTTCTGACATATACACACATGCAGTGCGGTACTTTTATCATTTTTTATCAAATTGTGAATATCTCTTTAGGAAACTGATAAAATAGGTCCATGTTATTAATTTAGATAAGAAAAATTACGAAGAATTTTGTAGCTTTCCGCCATAATGTCGAAAGCACGAGAGATGCTTTTATATTTAGTTCAGAATGACTATGGTCCGTCCCTATGAAATTTATGAATCAACGTCATAAGCAAATCTGGTATTTAACAATAGTTTTGCTATCTCACCTCAAGAAAAACTTGTCATTGCACTAAAACAGTAAAATAAAGTATACCATTAAGTGGGAATAATAGTTTCAATAATTATAGTATTATAATTTTATTAATACTATTAATTACGAAAATGTATGGGGTTTTTAAAAATAACGAACATTTAAAAAAATTGGAGTTTAAAAAATGTAATTCACACATAATTATAAAAGGATTAAATAGCAGAACATAATTATAAAGATTTTTCTGCCTGCTCTGTCGTATCAGATGCACTGGCTTTGCTGTCCTCAGCCTAAATCGAGCGGCAGCGACTTTCAATAAGATATCCAAGAAATCTGTGCTGCTTGGACAGACGATGTAAAAACGCTGTTGCGAAATGCCACACAAAGAAGTTCAGAATGCTCCAATTAATTCAACAATTCTATTAGTAAAGGAAAATTTTCCAACATCTGTTTTCGGTGGCCTGTGCTGAATTTTGTGCTTGTGATCCACCGTACTTAAGTACGTGGGTGTGCCGAGTCTAATGGGTCTCTCGGGATTTCAATAGCAGATACGCAGGTAATGTGGGCTTGATGGACATAACTATAATAACGGTTTTGCGATATTACACAGTAAGTTCAGAAATCTTGTTAATTCAATAAAATTTAATTTGAATATTTACATAACATCTATTAGATAAAAGTTTCTTTACAAAATAGTTACCTGCTTTTTCGTCTAAAATGACTATTTTTTCCCGTATTATTTCTTAATTGACAGTTTTCGAAAATTTAGAGAATTTAACAAAAATTAGAACTACGACATTTTTAAGCGTCTCTTTGTCTATTCACGATCAAAAATACGAATAAAAAGTTAAGCGGAGTGTGTGAAAATGTTTTTATTGCAAACGGAGAACACGTCCGGTATTTCGGTCTGCGCTAAAACTAACGAGGGCACACCAGCTGTCGCTTATCCAGTAAAATCGGTATAAATCTAAAATCATACTTGATAAGTGAAAATCTGTTGAAGCATGGTTAACAAGTGTAGTTTTGCAATTTGATTTAATTTTAAAGTTGACAAAGCATATTTAATTTTGAACACAGAAAAGCTGTGAAAGAATAAAGTAAAGTATAGTACAAAATGAAGAAAAAAAGAATATCGCTGAGAAAATAATGTTTTATAATTTAATCTCCAGCCCGTTCTTTACACAAGTAGATTATACGTTGTACAGACACTGTTTGTTGCATCGAATACGGAAGGGTTTTGTTTTCCTGTCTTGCGAAACAGCAACGTCCTTGTTTTGCACCGTTTTGCGATGTATTGGAAGGAATTTCTTATGCAATGGTTTGGTTGCTTTGTTTCAGAACTTTCTCAAATGAATTTCTTAACTCCACACGAAGAGTTTCTCATTTAAGGAATTGGGAGGTCAATCCCCAGCGATCTTGCAGCTACATTCCTCGCTCCTTGCGCACATAGAAATAAATGGAGTGTTGATTTCTGCTTAGTATAGAACACTAAAAAAGTATTGCAAAGACCACATTCTTGTATTTGGTGCTGTTGAACATGTACGTGAGAGCTCGTCGAAAATTTCTACTCCGCCTTTAGTGTAATAATAATAATATTTATTGAGTCACGTATACAATTACAATGATGTATGACGAGTCAATATGATTCCCTGGGTGGAGAGAGCGAAGTTATATTACTGTTCAGGAGCAAACAAGGGGCCATCTCAGCATTTGCTCAAAGGACCAGGGAAACTGAACAAAACCTGATCGAGATGGTCATTGGCCTAGAAATTATACTACAATACTTGTTACAGATAGATTACGATATTATACAGTAGATAATTATTTTAGTAACAGATAATTTAACATTAAACTTAACTTAACAAAAAAGGGGTCCTTTTTGCAAAGAATTTTACATGACTTCTTTAAATAGCTAATATTTTACAATATATATCGATCTTGTTTAACACAAAAATATCTATTTTTAATACTGTAAGTTCTAATCGCCAATTTTTTGCAATTTTCGAAAATATAGTGTTTGTTGTAAGTTACACTAGAACAAATTTGTTTCTGATGACTTTTGATACGTACAGGAGAATATGAATAGAAAACGTTTAGAGCCATTTTTGAGAAAAAATATTTTAAAAATTTAAAAAATTGCTTGAAGTACTCACAAAATTGCGCGACAACTACTTATGCTTTCGAAACATTTGGCATTTTCTTATTTCAAGACCTCTTTAAAGAACAGATACCATTCATGAACAAATCACTATCTTAAATAATGTTGTCTTAGAAAGACGCCGAAAAAAATAAAAGATGGCAATTTTTAAAAAAATATTCAAATTTCAGTATGTTTTTAACGAAAATTAAACCGTTCAATTACCTTAAGCGATTTTATACTATTCGAGGACAAAATTTAAATCAAAATATAGAAGTCATTTTCCGAGAAAATATTGAAAATAATGTGATGGGCTTTTTTTTTAAATTAAATAAATATATATATATATATATATATATATATATATATATATATATATATATATATGTACATACACTACATGATGTTGTCAGAGTTAAAATTAAACTTAAATTTTAATTACAATCATTGCTAACTTCCCATGAATAGGAAACTTCATGCATCTATGGGATTAATTCATCTCTGAAAATATGCTGAGGAATGAATCTAATGCATACATATATTTTATCCTAGTTGGAACCTGATAGGTGTGGGGTAAATCGTAATAGGATGCTTGGGTTATTTTTGGAGAAGTTAGATAGGAGGGCAATATGGAGAACTATTGGGGGTAAATTGATTTTTTTGTGGAGTTGAACGTTTGTGATAAATCAGGGAGCTTGAGTGGCCAGTCTGTGGGAATGGTTTTGAAAGATCTGTAATTTGTTGATATTCGGTTTAGAGGCGTTAATCCAGATGGGACATGCATAAATCATTAGAGGTGTGAATATTGTTTTAAAAAGGGCGGTGACAATTTTTAATGGAAGTTGACTATTGAAGTTCAGAAGTTGCTTCAGTTGAATTATTACTTTCCCGTAAACATACGTATATACGAAATAAAATACGTAGTAAAGGGAAATTATGTAATGCTGCGCAAAAAAGGGAGGATTTTTGGTAGAAAAATAAATTATATCGGGCTCTGATAACGAAAAAGTGCTAAATTAAGAAGACAAATCCTCTAAAACTTGTCGTAGCCAGAAACTCTGGTTTGTGTGTCATTGATACCAAAAAACCAATTGACAGCAAGACGTTGGTCTGCCTGAGTCTCCTTTTCTTAGTACCTTCCTTAATTGTGTTTTCATTTCCCTGAGATTGTCCAATAGTCCTTAATATTGTTAATTGTTCATGTCATTATTAAATTGAGCTTGTTATTATTGTTGTAATTACGTATTGCTGCAAATGAGTGTACGCTCAGTTGTACATTAATTTTCCAAATGTTAAATATTTTATTGTTCTCTCTTCTCATTTCTCACAAAATTGAGAAGTATTTCGTTTCCTTTACTTAAATTAGAATATTTATTTCAATCTTACATTTCATGAATATTTTACATTTCAGACATCAAACTTCAAGTGACAACTTCCTAGGTCACAAGAAAGAATAAAACATGGTAAGTCAACACCTTCTAGGCTATGCGCAGTACAAAGAAATATGTGTACATTATAACTAATGATATAACAGATTTTCATGGAAGTACATAGTTTTACAGGAACAAGATACCTTCATTCAGTAATATTATTTTGATTTACAAGACATGTTGAATGGATTAAAATGTTTTTAATTTAAGTATTTTTAAATATTTTGGTATAAGTGCATATTTCTAAATGTTATGCCTATTAATATATATTTCGTTAAATTTTAATATATTAATTCGTTGAAAAGGAATATTTCAGGCACGATTTCTCAATACATGTTGTAACAATCTTTCTTACTAAGCAATGTAATTCTTCTACGCTTCAATGACCACCAAATCTTTCCCGCATGTTGTCAAACTTACCCACTTATTGAAACCGCGCACTCGGAATCAAGGATGAGCGGCCTACGTGAGTGCCCGCTGTCGTTTCATAGGCCCAATGCGTAACTCAATCAAAAACTATTTTTAGATAGTTCTCAAATCGGAATCCCCCCTCCAGGTGCCATCATTGACCCCATGGTACCTGTATTCACTTGAGCAGCAGCTCCTTGTAAACATTGTATATAGGACGAACGTGTTTTTATATGTTGAAAGAAAGTAGTAAACAATTACTTCTGTAGAGGTAGAAATTTTTTCAATCTTTCCG